GCACAACACAGAGAAGGTGCTTGCTGCCACAGGAAAAGGACTTTGGGACATTTGTGCATGCAGTTGATATGCCAAGTAACAGCAGTGTGAATGTAAAGTAACAGCAGCTTCTAAAGGCATTTGTTTAAAAAGCCAGCTAAGGATAGCAGTCTGTAAAGAAGTGAAATAGAGGATATAATGGAGTGGAGTGGAGTTTGGCTTCAACAACAACAACTTGTTTCTCCTGATCAAAACCTACCCTTAAAAAATCTCTGGGGTGTTTTGGAGCACACAGATCTGTCTTTTGTTCCCACTGATCACAAAAAACTTTAACACAGAGGTCTATGCAAGTCATTTTCTTTTAAAAGGCAGAAAATGCCGTATATCCCTGGTGTCTGCTACATGTAAACAGTTATAGGTGTATGCTATAGGATATCAAAGCTAACGATAACACACTGATAACTTGTGGGACAGTTCAAGATCTGTCTTCCAGGTGTGTTTTCAACTAGGAAAATATCACAGAGATCTGTGAAGCAGTGATTCGTAATGGCAGGTCCTTGAAGTAACCGGTTTTCACTGTGTATTTGCATAGAGGCTTTGTTTTTTGATAGGCATACAGAATTAAAAATGTTTCTAATTAAGCAGACATCTTTTGTGTTGGAAAGTTCTCATGAGACAGCTTTTAAATGAAAGTACTCTGTCCTCAGGAGATTCTAAAGCAGCAGAGTCTCCGGATGTTTGAGCTGGTCCAGAAGCACCCGCCGCACTGGCCTCCTTTCATACCTCCAAGCAAGCCAGAAGTGACAACTACAGGAGCAGGTGCAGTACCACTGACAGTGCAGCACAGTGTTCCTTGTTAGCAAGCAGGAGAACAATCACAGGTGGAATAACGATGCTTTCCTAAGAGTCCAGCAACCGCCATGGGATTAAATGCGTTCTTCCAGCCTGTCAGACAGTTACCCACACAGGTCACATAAAATATCTACGCTAGCAATGGTTTGGGTTTGGTTTTTTAAAATCTTTTACTCAAAATACTTTGAAGGACACATTTCAGAAAGGTGAGGCTTTTTGTGTTTTGAAATAAAAAATGCTTTAGATTGTAACTTGATTTTTTTTTCTTGCAGAACTCATTGAATCTACTGACAAACTATTTGAGTTGGAAGAAGAATTTGAAATCCTGAGTGTATGAAGGAAGCTGTGGTGACCCTTCTGAGTATTGAACGTGTTGCTAATACTACTGCATTGACTTAAATCAAACAGCCATGTTAGCCCCCAAGTGCCTGAAATGACAGATGACAGAGCACAAAATCCAGTAGCATCCAGAGCTCCAACAGGGACAGCTCCTGCTGTCAGAGAGCCTCCCCAGATGGACAGGCAGTAAAAGAGCTTAAAATGAGGCACTTAAAGGGAACCTCTTTTTAACGTGTCTTACCTGAAGACAAATGGACCTTTGAAATTAAGGCAAAAATAACTCTAGCACTGGGCTGTATGTTTGGAGAAAGGGAGAACACCAAATGGGTATTTCTTGCTCTCATGTAATGCAATATTTTAGTTCTTGGAGCAAAACAGTCGTCAGTTAAGGAGGATGTTTACTTCTGTTCCCTCCTGTGGGCTGCATCGTAATAAAAAATACATTGTCTTGTTTAAAAGATCGACTGGATCAGAAGAAAACTGTTTCCTTGTTAAATATTTTAACATGTATTTGAGCAACCACACTTTATTACAAAAATGTTTCTGTAAAAGGAACTATGTCTAATGGATACATTCTGCAGTAGCCTTCCTGTTTCTGGGAAACCTCAAGCGGAGCAGGAGACTCAAACAGTTGATACAGATCACAACCACTGTTATAGTTATGATCTATTTCACCTTGACCTTAAAATTCAGACAATTAAAACTTAGGCTGACTTTTCTTTCGGACCTAAAATGAGTCAAAGGTGGTTTAACTGTACCTTATTTATTTTTAAAAAGATTTACGCAAGTTTCTCTGTTACAGCACTTTACCTGTGCATCTAATAAATTTCTTAAGCTTTTCATAGGTTGTACGCTGCTATATTTTGTTAATTTGTTTGTGTGAACTAAATATAAACCAGGTCATCTCAAAACTTAATATATAGGCATATGCAAATTAATTGTTGTTTTTTTTTGACTTACTGCCTTTTGAAATCTGTTCTGGTAAAAGTGCCTTAATTCTTCAGGTTTATCAGAACAGCCCGTGCAGTTTTAGTTGTGAGGCAGCATCTCTCTCTAGCAGCCATAAGAAAACCAGCTCAAAGTAACTGAAGACAAAGATCTTTTAATCCGTTATAAAGTTCCTTTTCGCTCTCAGACAGTCCCCATTGTGGTCATTTGGTGATGACGGTGCGACGGACGCGAATCGCAGAGTTTCGGCCTCACCAATAAATGACAACAGAGAGAAATACTGAATGGTGTCTCCTCTCTTGATCAGGGCCAGTGTGAGTTCCAAGAAAACAGTTAACCAGCTCATATTTCGTCTTGTCTGCCGTCAGTGTTTATTAACCGCTGTTTGGAAACTGTACTCTCAGAAGAAATACTTTCTTCTCCTCTCCATGCATTAGCTCCTGGGTTTGTTTGTTTTTTAAAAAGCAAAGCATTACTTCTTAATAAGTACATGAATTTACTGCTCATGCAACAGTGATTGCAGCCCTCACCTTCCAACAGACAAAAATTAAAATCAAGCCCTTGCTCTGACATGCTTAACTGCTTAAAAAGAAAAAAGGAAGCACCTAAGACTAAAAAATGAAATAATACCTTAAAAAAAAAAAACCCATCAATTGGTGGAGTACGCTGTCCTCATTCCCCACAGAGCTCCTGGGTGTTATGTGAACACTGCTCAGAGAGGAGGTCTTGGCCCTGCAGCCCCTCCTGAACAAGTATTCTTGGTAAAGAGGGTTCTGAAATGGGGTGATGACTGGAATTGCACCTGACACAATGGCTTAAATGTGTGTGAACAGGGTGGGAAGAGGCTGGGCTTGCTGAGCTTGATGGATGTTTGGACACTGCTAGCAGCAGAGCCAGGTTACTGCAGTAGAGGCAGTTCCTACAGACAGTGGTGCCTAAAAGGCCCTGATCCTGGAAAGAAGAATTAATTGTATTTGCTTGTGTCCATGTTCAAAAATAAAACCAAGTCCCTGTAGACACGCAGCCTGGTTGCCACCCTCCTTTTTATAGCACCATGGGAGCCCAATGGCTACGAAATTCCTTGTAGTTTGCCAGGTATTTGCACAATTTTTTCAACAGGTAGTGAGCTTCACTAACACACTTCAGTGTTTTAAAGTTGTATTTGCATAGCCCAAGGTGTAAATAAAACATGATCTGTCCGTGCTAGGACAGCTAAGAAGCAGACTGGCTATTCTGCGTAACAGGATTGCCACTCAGGAGTGTTGAAATGCCTTAGAGGTATTTGCAGAATACATCCATTGCTGAGCTTTCACAATGAGGAATAAGTGAAATAAAAGGCTAAGTTGTTCTCCATAAATTCCCTGCTCATCTCCAGTGTGGTTCAACTCTACACCATGCAGAGCTCTCTGCTCCCGATGTTATATTATGCATGTAAATAGTCGTTCATATTTTCTGCTTAAAAGTAAGCCTGTTCTTAAGGACTTTGCTGTACAGAGCTAGAGCTCTAGAACCTATTCAAGAAAAAATACAACAACCTCTCCTGCCTTAGCAATACATTTCTGAAAAAATGTCTCAGATTTTTAAGCCAACACGATAGTGTATTTGCAAGGCGCTTCTTGCACACGTCCTGGAATGTCAATATGCAAGGATTTCATGTGCTTCACTCCAGAGAAGCTGACAGTAGTAGCTTTAGCCAAATTAAATGAATACAGTACATATATATTAGCATACCTTTTTCATGGCTTTCCCTTAAAATAGACAAGAATTATGCAATTAGCGACACTTCTCTTTAATTAGGCCATGAAGGAAAGTGTGACCAGTTAACAGTGCATACACTAGAAATACATTGCTTTTAAACTAACAGAAGTAAAAGCCCAGAGGAAAAAGCATACAACACATCGTGCCCGTGGAAGTAAAAAATATACATCCCGTAACTCCTTACTTCTGTGTTTGCTGTCTAGTAAAGCCTCTAGTCTTCAAATACACACAGCTTGAATAACTACAACACAATCGTGCCAAGGCTACCTCAGAAAGGAAAGCTGCCTTCGTGGTAATGAAACGCTGCTGGTGGCTGCACATCATTTGACTGCAAGGAGATAAGCACAGACCTTGAAGCAGGCATTTGCCTGCAATGTAACTCAGTAGAAAGCTATGAAAAATGCTAGAGGTGTTTGGGATTCAACTTCACATCAAAAATTGCGTTTTTCACTGGAGTAGCTCTTTAAAGTCAGCAGTGGATGAGAGTGTGGACTAGAATTGATTACCTGTCCCTGGAGGAAAGAACGTCTCATCTGTGTAATAAGCAGAGCCAAACAAATCAATCTTTGAGTCTTCCTAAGGACGTCAGTTATCAACCAGTAATGCTCAGTGTTTCTAAGTCACCTACAATACACAGATAAATTTTAGCTGGCTCTGTACTACACAGGAGAATGAGCCTTCATTCCCTTACGCCAGACCAACTGCTATTTGCAAAGACACTAATAGAGCATAACTCTGGAAAAGCGTTTTGTTGACCACTGGCACGTGCCCTGGACAGAGGAGTGGTATAATGTGAGACGTCAGTTACTCTTTGGTCTGAACGAGGAACTCGCAGAGACTTTCTGAGGTAGCCATAAATGTGGGAAAAAAACCCGACTGAAGTAAAAGCATAGCACCATGGTCCGGTAAAAAAAGAAAAACAAAAGGTGTTTCAGAGCACTTGTCTTTTCCACCTCTGTGTCCAATCAAACTCCTGGACTTGAGACTCAATTTCTGTAGAATTCTGGCTGTTTTGGTTCACCCGTCAACCACACGCAGAACAGGTTTATGAATTTATCCTTCTCCACATCAGGGATGCCTAGTCTCGGGTAACGACGACTGTTAATGTTACTGTATTTTTGTTACTACAAGTTCTTCATGCATACTTGGCAACGGCTGACCCTGGTGCGAAGCTGTCCTGCTTTCAGAGTTTCTGAAGGAGGAGCACTGACAAACTGCTGCGACTGTTCCACAGTCGTCAGCCAGAAGCTGTATTTGTTTGCGAAGTAATGGCACGTGCCCCTGGCACCGTTGCATTCAATGAATGGAGTGGCACGGAAATCCTCCAGGCAAGAACCAGGTGAGACAAGAGACTGACCTCCACCTTCTGCACCAGCTGCAGTATGCTGAAAGAGAGGTGGCAGTTTCAATGAGTTCAGAGGAACAGAATGAGAGGTAAACAGGGGAGTGCAGTACTTGGGTTGAAGGTACAGGCCTGCTATAACAGAAAACCAGCTTTTCACTTGCAAGTTGGGAAAACCTGGAAACAATAATGCCAACTTCACAGAATCCCAGACCGTTAGGGATTGGAAGGGACCTCAAAAGCTCATCCAGTCCAATCCCCCTGCCGGAGCAGGAACACCCAGATGAGGTTACACAGGAAGGCGTCCAGGCGGGTTTTGAATGTCTGCAGAGAAGGAGACTCCACAACCTCTCTGGGCAGCCTGGGCCAGGGCTCTGTCACCCTCACTGAGAAGAAGTTTCTTCTCCAATTGAAGTGGAACCTCCTGTGTTCCAGTTTGTGTCCGTTACCCCTTGTCCTATCATTGTTTGTCACCGAGAAGAGCCTGGCTCCATCCTCGTGACACTCACCCTTTAAATATTTATAACCATGAATGAGGTCTCCCCTCAGTCTCCTCTTCTGCAAACTAAAGAGCCCCAGCTCCCTCAGCCGCTCCTCAGCAGGGAGATGCTCCACTCCCTCCATCATCTTTGTAGCCCTACGCTGGACTCTCTCCAGCAGTTCCCTGTCCTTCTTGAACTGAGGGACTTCATATTTTCCTAACAATCTTACACTAGGAGAGTGCAATGGAAGGTGTTCTGCATTTTCCACTGAGAGAGGGAATGAAGACAATGCCACAGCTTAATTAGCATTTCCACATTTAAAGGTTTGAAGAACAAAGGATATCTGTGGCAATACAGAACTATTACCTCTGTGTTACTACTGAACTTGAGCGGTACAGGTGAGAAGGCCAACTAAACGGGAACAAATTAGCATTTCCACATTTAAAGGTTTGAAGAACAAAGGATATCTGTGGCAATACAGAACTATTACCTCTGTTACTACTGAACTTGAGCAGTACAGGTGAGAAGGCCAACTAAATGGGAACAAACTCAGAAAGCCTGCAACAGGCCAGCTGATAAAGAATAAATGCACTAGGGCAAGTAGCTACAGGGCTCTAGTTTCCTCTGAGCAACTCGGAGAACATGGGTCTCAGCCACCTAAACAAAGAGGAGATCTAGAAATGTTTAAAGCTGCCTTTGCATTACCAACAGTATCCTTACCATAAGGAAAGAGTATCCTATCCACAGGCTGCGCCAGCCAACAGGACACTGAGGGATGGTGATGTCCTGGCTGTGCACAGCCACAGCCTGAGAAGGTGCCTCACATACTGAGCACCGACTGATGTACTGTGGAATCTGAACACTGTCCACTGGCATCATGGGGATAGGAGCGGTGGTGGAGAGCCAGTATGACTTGTCATTTCGGCTGGCGTAGTAGCACACTTCATTGATGTTGCAGTAAATAAAGGGCATAGTGCTGAAGCGAGGCAAACATGAGCCAGCAAAACCTGGAAAAATGGCAGAAGTTGTCGTATCAAGCACTGCTGAATGCTTCAACTCACACACACGAGACATAAACAGGGGAGGATGGCACAAGTGACGCTGCTTCCAGCACAGATTCTGGCCAAGGAGACTTCCACCACCTCTACTACAACCACCTGTGGTACCAATGAAGATTGCTCATTTGAAACAGGATTTTGGCCTGCGTTGTTTATGCCTGAGAGAATTCTGTCAACTCACCAAGATCCTGGTTGTGTGACTTTTCCTGCCCCTCCACGTACAATAAGCTGTAGCCATCCCAGAGCTTGTTCATTCCTATGGGACAAGGTGGGATTTGGTCTGACTGACTGTGCTTCACTAAGGTGTATCCAACACCCACGCTCCGACCAGGCATTCCCGGCAAACCAAGTGAGCCCGGCTTTCCAGTGACACCTACAAGACAGAAAAGGAGTTGCTATTACTAATATGAAGTGTGGACATCAGCTGGCTCTATACCTGGTTTTGGCATTGCTGTCATTGTGTTTATGTCAGTCAGGAGCCCAAGTTTTGATGATCAGTTCCTGTCATTTCACAGTAGCACCCACTCATTTCCTACCTCATTTGATATTCTTTCTCTGCCCAACAAATCTGGTGCCAGTATGTTTGCATGTATGTCACATTACAATGATTCTGAGGATCTTAAAGCACCAACCAAAAGCGAATAAATTCATTTTTGCCATAGTGCTCCTCATAATGATATTTCTTTGACACAGAAAGGCCAAAAGTTCTACTACAAATCTGTGGCAGCATCCAAACCTTCTCCTTCTCTTACTGTGCCCTTCCTCTACTGTCCAATCCTCACAGTTGTGTTCACTGTCAATACTATTTCCCTCATACATTTTCAAGATGAGTCCCACATTCACAAAACAGTAAAACCAAAAGATGTTCATAATTGTACCTAGGGAAACATCAGCAGTGACAGACAGAAATGACACGTGACAGTCTTCTTCACTGAGGAAGATATGAAACACAAACTTGTGTACATCCCCTGGTCTTTCTAAGGTAATTGGGTTTTAGGGAGGGTCTCTGCAGAACTTGCAGGCAAACAGAATTCTACTGATCGCTTCTTTCGGGTCTGTGTTCCCCAAATAATAAAATTACCTTCAAAACCCTGTGGTCCTGGGGCACCCGAAGGTCCTGGATCCCCAGCTATGCCAGGTGATCCAGGTAAACCATCACGCCCTTTTAAACCAGATCTTCCTGGCAGACCTTTTGTACCTGAAATAAAACACAACAATTACTATCATTATTTCCTCATACTAATGCCTTCACTCCTGCAACCATATTCCAGAAGAGAAATACGCTGTCAGCAGCCACACTGAGAGCTCACACTTCAACAGCTGTGGTTACAAACAACTGACTCCACATGATCCGAATGTTTGTTGAAGGAGCGAGAGGTGCAGCTGAACATCAGACAAGGCTGAAAATGCAGCACTGAGATCTGGGATAAGTTACTGCTTTCAGTCTGAAGTCACATCGGCTCTAGGACTCAAGTTCTGATTTGATGGCTGTGGAAGTCTGTGAAGTCTTTTCATCTCTGTCTCACAAGGCCCCTGCCACTGTGAAAACAGGGATCCTCTGGTATAACATTCCAGCTGTTGTAATCTGGAGCTACCTTGCTGAAATTTTGCCTAAGACTTGAAGTCACTTCTTTAGCTCCATTTCACCTCTCTTTCAAACCAGAAAATTGGCCTTGATGTTCAGCTTAAATATCATATAAAATTCGAGCTACCAACTTGAACTAAATTCACCTTTCCCTTCCTCACCTTGACATTCAATGATAAGTATCTGACTGACAACTCTTTAAAAAGTCTCAGGGCAGTGAAGGGTGCTCATAATATAAGGGTATAAGAGGAGATGCTTGCCTATGGACCTTTAGAATCCATTCAGGACTGTCCTGACCCCATCTGAAAGGACTGGCATGGATTGGATAAACTAACAATAAAATAAGTGTTCAGAATGTTACAAGTTAAAATATAACGTAATAGTATAAAGAGACACAAAGTGTTATGCCGTTGCACAGAGCTAGATACCCTAGCATGTGATCAGTAATGTGGAAGGTCAGTATCAGTATAAGGAAATGTGACACAGATGAGTGTACATTTGCACAACTTTTGTAAAGATTAAGCATTCAAAATAGTATAAATAGGGCTAATTTCCCCATGAACTTCTCTCTTTCCACTGCTCTGCAGTGTCTGTTACCTGATTGCCTGACCACTATTAATAAAGGCACTCTCAGCTTTTACTCTCTGTATGTTTATTCACTTTTTTAGGAACTGACAAACAGGAAGCCAGGAACTAACACAGCTCTATTCCCTGTGAGGGATTCAGGATAACATCTCGGGAGATGGACTGGTGCTAAGTGATATTCCAGTTCTTGGATTTTTCATAGCTAAAAGAGAATACTAACACACTTTAAAATGACCTAAATGGTAGTGCTGAGAAAGGAATCATGGGGACTTGCTGGGCCCAGGAGAGCCAACTGATGCAGGACCCACCGCAGTTGCTTTGCCAAACAATATGAACCACAGTGGTGCAGGCTGAAGTTCCCAGCACTCCTCCAGTTACAGTATGTAATTGACAACTCAAATAATTCTCAGTGGGGAATCACGTCCATGATGACTCCACCTGCTAGCATAGTACCAAAGCTGGTATCATATCAGCTGCATCGCAAGCTGTTCCACCTATTTCCGGAAATATAATTAAAAAACACTATAAACTTGCACGAACAGAATTTATCAAAAACATTCTAATAATAATAAAACATGACATCTGTATGCATTTTGCTGGAATTACATCCCTTTTAGAAAAACCTGTGAACTTCCTAACACAGCTGAGACAGCAGTGCTCTTCCACAGGGCCAGCATTTCAGTGATCTGAGTGTACTTTTTTACCTGGTTTTCCAGTTGGGCCCTGGAATCCAGGATCTCCATCAAAGCCAAGGACACCATCAATTCCTGGCAGACCAGGTAAGCCTGCAGGGGCTGTGATTTCTTCTGGCTGTGGGGTTATACCTGGAGAGCCTTGTCGGCCAGGGAGACCTGCACACAGTGCAAACAACAGTGTAACTACCCCACAAAAATTTCAGAGTTTTGATGATGATACTGACACAAAGGACAAGTGTGCTAAATTAAGACTGCCTTAGTACATCAGCACTAGATATCTTTGTAAGAAGTGGTATGTCAGGCTCTTTCTAATTTATTTAAATCTCTAAGAAAGTAAGAGTTTCCTAAATAAAGTCTGAAATTCTCCCCAGCCCAAACCACGTGCAATAAAGTACAGCTTTTCAAATCCTCCAGCACTCACCTCGACGGCCCATTTCGCCTTTCAGCCCAGGGTAACCAGGATCCCCCGGAGGCCCATCTTTACCTGGCATCCCCATAAGGCCAGGCTCCCCTCTTATACCTGCAAAGATACACAGCTGAAGCCCCCAGGGGCTAAGCATAGGATCCTGATTCCGATCCACAGCTGGGGCACTGATGGCAGCAATGGCAGCAGTAGTTTAGCTCCGAGATGGAGTGGACCACAACCCTTAAGGAACTCCACATCCACTTTGATGTTCAGAATGGCTGCAGAGCCATTATCTCAAGATAAGAATTTCCACTGCTACATAATTACACTTGAAAGTATTCTTCCCCTTCCTTGAGTAACCCAGGGAAAGTGGGTTACACATCTTTTTCTATTCTATACACAGCACAGAGGGATGGGGATCTGCCAGCCTTCAGTTCTTCACCTGGCAATGGTTCTCCATAATTTCCTGGTCTTTGAGCCGTGCAGTTTCTTTGAAAACTTGCTACTACAGTTCCTGTTTGCAGCTGTCCTGTCTCCTTTGGCAAAGACCAAAGAGAGAGCAACCTGCTCCCTGCCTTAGCCCAGAACAAGATCTCTTAACTCCTACAATCATCTTAGCTTCTTGTGGAGACCTAAATCCATGCTGAACATATGTGACAGGTGGGATGAAACAGCACCTCCAATCTTTGCCTAGACAACATATGCAAGTGTGTAACTGTAGTCAACAAGCACAGCACAATTGCATGTGGACATGATTGACTCAGGACAAAAAAAAAAAGATAAAAAAGAGACAAAAAATGAATGGGGCCACACTGAAGAGCACCTGGAATTGGCCTCATTTTGCTGCTTTGGGAGTTCGTAGGTAAGAGCAGATCATCTTCATCTTGTACTGTACCTGGACTTTAGTAAAGCCTTTGACACCGTTTCCCACAGCATTCTGCTGGAGAAACTGGGTGCCCATGGCCTGGACAGGCATACTCTTTGCTGGGTAAAAAACCGGCTGGATGGCCAGGCCTAAAGGGTGGCAGTGAATGGAGTTAAATCCAGTTGGCAACTGGTCACAACTGGTGTTCCCCAGGGCTCAGTGTCAGGGCCAGCTCTGTTTAATGTCTTCATTGGCATCCTAGATGAGGGGACCGAGTGCTCCCTCAGCAAGTCTGCAGATGACACTAAGCTGGGTGGAAGTGTTGATCTGCTTGTAGGGCAGGAAGGCTCCACAGAGGGACCTGGATAGGCTGGATCAATGCAGCCAATTGCATGAGGTTCAGCAAGGCCAAGTGCCAAGTCCTCTACTTGAGTCACAACAACCCCATGCAGTGCTACAGACTTGGGAATGAGTGGCTGGAAAGCTGCTTGGCAGTGAAGGATCTGGGAGTACTGGTTGACAGCCAACTTGAATATGAGCCAGCAGTGTGCACAGGTGGCCAAGGTCAATGGCATCCTGGCTTGTATCAGAAATAGTGTGACCTGCAGGAGTAGGGAAGCGATTGTGCCCCTGTACTCGCCACTGGTGAGGCTGCACCTCAAATCCTCTATTCAGTTCTGGGAGACCTCATCACTCTCTACAACTACCTGAAAGGAAGCTGTAGCAAGGTGGGGGTCAGTCTCTTCTCCCATGTAACAAGCAATATGATGAGAGGAAATGGCCTCGAGCTGTGCCAGGGGAGGTTTAGACTAGATATTAGGAAAGATTTCTTCACTGAAAGGGTTATCAGGCATTGGAACTTGCTGTCCAGGGAAGTGGCAGAGTCACCATCACTGGAGGTATTTAAAAGATGGGTAGATGAGGTGCTTAGAGACATGGTTTAGTAGTGGACGGGTTATGACTGGATTTGATGATCTTAAAGGTCTTTTCCAACCGAATAATTCTATGACTCTAAAACCGGCATGAGGCAAAAAGGAAGACTTAGACAAGTAAAGGTCTTTTCCAACCAAATAATTCTATGACTCTAAAACCTGCATGAGGCAAAAAGGAAGACTTAGACAATAAACTTAGCTGTACTTACACCTGAGTGAGGATTCGTTTCGAAGCAGTCACACTAAGCACACGATAGTCATTTGTACTGCTGAGGTGACAGCTGCCAAACCACACCCAGAGCCCTTCCAGGCAAGATTACCTTTGAATCCAGATGCTCCAGGGAGTCCAATTGGACCAGTGGGTCCCACATCACCCTTAATGCCTCGCAAGCCCAGAACACCAGGGAAACCTGGATTGCCTGTGTCACCTTGGTCAGAAGCTGGGCCAGGGAGCCCTCGTGGTCCTGGAGGACCTGGAAGACCTAGAGGCAACAGGGGTAATTAGCACAATCTGCTCCTCAAGCAAAGAAATGCTGAGGTCTTTCTAGAGAACAGCCACTGTTTGGATGTCTGTATTTCCAGAAGTGTCCTCCTCCCAAAGGAAAAGAACTGGACCCCACCCAATTATATTCACTTAGGTCTCATAAACTTCAAATAGCTTCAAATTCTGGGCCTAAGCATAGCCCTTGCCCCACCTGGTGACTCAGATATCCCCCAGGAGAATAAGAGCAGTGGCTTCAAATCCTCGACCAGACAAAGGCCCACAGTCTCAGCGTCTCTGACAAGGCTGTGAGGTATTGAATGGGAACCAACACCATCACGAAAAAATCTTTTAAAGTATCAACTTGCTGTCGACCCTACAGGAAGTGCTTCTTATGTACCTCTAAGGAGCAATGAATCTTTGCTGCTCCCCAGCTTACACAGGATACTTCTAAGCTTTACACAGAGCCAATGATTACAGCTGTGGAAACGACAGTTCAAAATGGAGCTGGTGTTCAAATTTAGACATACTATGCTGGACTTAAGTACCCACCTTAGTGCCCAAGTCTGTCTTCAGTACCACAATAGGTGAAACAAATATGGACTAGAGAGCTTTAATAACAGGCTAAATCAAATCAGGATTCAATAACAGGAATGGAAAACAGATCTTCTCATTCTCAATCCCTGATCCAAACCCCAGGCTATTAAAGTGACAATACTCATCCAAGTAATTTCTCCTCAAAGCTCTTAAAAGGAAGCATATAAAGAAACAGAAATCCCTTTAGCTAGGCCACTCTCCTTAAGAGGCCTCTCTTCATACCTGAGCTTCCATCAGTTCCTGGATGGCCAGCATCCCCAGGTCTACCACGTATATCAGAAGGAACAGAAGTTCCAGGTGTTCCTGGCAAGCCAGGCAGTCCCACAGGACCAGGGGGACCTAAAATAAGAAATACAAAGTGAGAGATGTAGCCGAAGCTCTTCAATGATCTTCACAGACATGGACAGAAGTAGTGGCTGAGTAGCATTTATATTGAGAACAAAGAGACATGTCACTATGTGAGGGGAAAAATTACACTATCTTGCTGTTCAGGAGAGGTACAGACATTTGAGAACTACGTAACCAACTGTTTCTCAAGTACATAGCCACATCACAGATTTCACCTTTACTTGTCCAACTACTAACCACCTCTGTGGCTTCAGGAGTTCTCTTTGGTAATTCTGCTGACCGTGCAAACTCATTGACCTGCACTGCAACACATCCTACTGGGCTTCGAGAACATCAGTATTTACCCATGTCTCCTGATGAGCCTTTTGGTCCAGGGAATCCTACAGCTCCTCTACCCAAGCCTGGAGAACCTTCTTCACCCTTCAGACCTGGTAGACCTGCAGGGCCTTTCAGTCCAGCTTCACTCAGACCTAATTAAACGTGGTTAACAAAAATACGAGAGTCTATTTAAATTGCCTAATAGCAGATAAATTATTACACAAACTGAGTTGTAATAAAAAATTAGTCATTTATTACTCTGCTGTTTTCAGTAAAGCAACAGAAAGAGATCTGGTGCCTCATGTGCTACTCTGGTAGTGCAAACTGCTCTGGTCTTCCCACAAGCTCTTGCACAAGGATGGGAACATAGCACTCCTGCGACAGGATTTGCCTGTCACCCTGTCTGCTGTCTCTCTCAAGAGGATACAACATAGACTCAAGCTTCTGGTGTTTAAATAATCTAGTGGGCTTCATGCTCCAACACCGAGAGATCAGCTTTCACAGACTACTACAGAAGACACACTGAGGCAAAAATGGTGCAGGGCAGAGGCTCCCAGGAATAGCTGCAGGGAGATGTTCAGCATGTCACTCTGGTAAGAGTAAGTACCAAGCAGCTCTCTCAGGTAGGAAAATTGTGGAGGATTTATATGCTGTAAATCATTACTTTTCAAAAGAGAATGTTTTAAATAAAGAAAACATAGGTATCATTTGAGTTGTACACATCAAGACTGTCCATTTTCACTTAGAAAATATCTGCCACAAATTTTAAGTGGCGCTCTACAAGATGACTGTAACTAAACAAGTCTCTTTGGAAAGGTCTTTCTCTACCTCTATGTTTAGTAAAACACCGTTTGCAAAACAGAACCATATTCTATTTCATAAGGTTAAAAATATGAAAAAATCCCTCAGAAGCTTCCCAAAAGCAGAAGCCAGAAACTTATCAAAGAGATCAGCTTCTGATTCTGCTGATGTCTTTATCTTGAGCTCCATAAAATGGAGGGCTATGGAAAGCAGTAAGGAAACATGCCACCGCAAAGCCCAAATCAAAGCATTTGATGCTGCCCTGCTAAATTCAAACATCCATTAGAAATGGAAGAGTTTTATGAATTCATTTCGTCAGCTTTTCAGCAGTGACATAGCCCTTTGGGAATTCAAGGACAGCCATCACCAGAAAAGCTGCTCCACTCCACAGGCTGCATCCTGTTCTTCCTGACATTAAAGAAGAATTTGTTCATGCACATTCAGCATCCTGAGCTTTTTCTTTAGGTTATAGTTAAATCTAGAACTGGTTGAAATATGGGAATGTTGTGAGGAACACTGCTGTCATGATGGACCAGTGTATGCATTTCTCCAGCTATGACACTTCTACTACACATTTCCTTTACCTGGTGTTCCAGGAGACCCTTTTGTGCCTGGTAAGCCATTCAGACCATTTAAACCCGGAAATCCGTTAAAACCTGAAGAGACATTTGGAATACATAAGTGATCAAATAAGCAAATAATCTAGTTAGGTGGAAATGTATAAGATGTTTCATAGAGACTACAGCATGTATAGAAACCTGACACACAGGGGAACACAGTATGTTAAGTCTTCCTTCACATAGGCCCCCTTCATGGAAACTTCCCACTGCTCTCACCAGTTTTACCCTCAGTGAACACCCATCAGTGATCCAAATCAAGTGAGAGCCTTTTCCTTTCCAACCACTCCTCTGTTTATTTCAAGCAGCCGGTGCCTGCACTAACATTGCCAAGAAATGAGCTTTCCCACACACAGCTGGCCCATACAGAAGAGTGCTGCCTGCCCGCTGTGATATAGTCGGCTGGGTTTCTGTCCCAATTTCTCCCCCCATGTGCAGGCTCCAGATATACCTTTAGGTCCTGCTGTTCCATGAGCTCCTGGGAATCCAACAGATCCTGGCTGCCCTGGAGGTCCTGGTGGCCCAGGAATTCCTCTTAGCCCAGCATTTCCAGGGATTCCTAAAAACAAGCAGAAAAATGTTCCTGTACTACACATCCAGGATGGAACAGCTCACAGCTCCATCTTACAGCTGCTGTTCCTGCACTCAACTCTTAATATGAGTGAACAAACTACTATTTAGACAAAGCAAAACCAGATTCAAATATCTCTTTATTACCACTACTAGGTTTGTTTTTTTAAAATATCATAGCAATGACACTCTTCATAACCCACCAAGTGACACGCTGGAACAGTTCACATACCAAATAACTAATTCAATTGTTTTTCAAATAAAATATTCCAATAACAAATTTCACTGTCCTTCCATGTTTAATATTGATAACAATTTGATAATGTACCTGCTAGTTACACCACAACCTCAACACACCTGTAGCCATCCTTCTGGGTAGGTTTGGCTCTAGAGGGAATGGACAGAAGCATTGCAATGGAAGATTTTAGAACAGTCTTGCCCATAAGCAGCTACAAAGAAGCTGCTACTGTTTGTATCTAACTGAGGTGTTCCCTGTTTGTTAAAGGAATTCCTTCAGGTTTCTGTTGTGCACAGTTCACCACATGGTTGACCACAGGATCAGTTGCAGCAGGACAAGGTGACACCTTACACTAGTGTCAAAAAAAATCTTATCTTCCCGTCAACCTTCTTGTTTAAGCCTCAGTTGTGACAGGCCAACCAGGGCTAAGGAAACAAGGTGAGGTTGTTCTACAGTCATAGAACAAACTGCAGAGATGTCTAGTCCAGTACCTGCTGGTCCTTCTGGGCCAAGATCTCCTGGGCCTCCTTTGAGTCCATTCACCCCAATGTTTCCTGGGTAGCCTGTTTCACCCTTGAGTCCTTCTCTCCCCCTCTCTCCTGAAAGCATAAAAACAGACAGCATGCTAGAGCCCATGTCAAACAGGAGGAAGGTGTGAAGAGAATGAGAAACATGTCATGTTGAGGCTGCAGCACTTGTGTCTGCTTAGCCATGGTGTGGGCCCCAGACTGGACTCCCTCAGTGCCAAATACCTTTGCAAGTTCACAAGTTCCTCCTCAAGAAGTGAAGTGGGAGCCAGCATTAGAATTGGGCTGTTCCTGGACTTGTCCATTATCATGCAGATTTGTGCCCCACCCAGATTTGAGACTCCTCAAATCTCACTTCCAGGAGGAGACTAAACTATTTAAATTTATGGACTACAAAAATACACAAACTGGACAACACTATCATGTTTAATCTCTAGAATTTTGCATTCTTGAAATGAGTAAATCAAGAGCTGCTTTACCTGGGAACCCTGGGTCTCCTCGCTCTCCTTTTGCTCCTGCAATACCAGGAATCCCAACAGACTCTCCCTGGTCACCTGAAAAAGAAAGACAAAGTGGGAAAGCCATTCCCCTAATTGATGGTGGAAGCAGTTTTCAGGGCTGCTCAATAGCCTTGTTTATGAAAATGAACCTTGCCAATAATTCAAATCCATGGAGCAAACAAAGACAATAGTGATGTACCTGAGTTTGAAAATGCTTATAAACAGCAATGAATACAGATTCTCTCATGCAAATGCATGGTAAGACAAACATTTATAGGTAATTCCACAACAACTTGCCCTTCATACTTCTGACACAAGGAGACGAAAGCAGGGTGCCTCTCATACTGTTCAACATGCTTCACACAGTGCTGTGGCCAGACTTGCAAAGGACCACAAAGTATTTAGGCATTTTGGCTTGGGACTGGTCTCATCTGAATAAAGCCCCTTACAAGAGGATATGTACTTCAGAGCCAGTCACTGGAGAGCCACAGACACTTCTAGAACACTGCTCATTCATTTCAGTCATTAATATTAGGACAGAGCGAACTGAAAGACCATGTACACTATGGAAAATTTCTTACCCTTTGGACCAGGAAGGCCAATAGGTCCTGGGAATCCAAGTGTTCCTGTGATACCATCTGAACCCTGAAAGAAAAAAAGATCCCCAAATTAGCCTTTGCTTTTTATTTTTCCTGTTCCAAGTTTGGGTCGTGTGGAATAACAGACCACAAAGATATAGGAAGAAATACTCTCCAAAGCATCATTCTACAGTATGAGCCAAACAAAAACAATCTGGAAGCTTCGTAAGGCAAAATCCTGCCAGCTCCTGCTGCTTTGCTACAGAAGCACCAACTAGAACACAGGATTTTCGTAAGAGCACTTAGGGAAGATAAAGATATTTAAGAAGGTGTTTACCCTCTCTCCTG